AAGATAATAACATTCAAATAGTAACTTGAAACTAGAAATGCCTTTATTCGTGCAAGTCAATTTAACAATAACTCTCTCCTTTACACTTGGCTTATCCACACTAAACTGACCATTGATATTCGTCCTTTCAAACGAACTGATACTACCATAGTCATTGCACAAGATACTTGAGTTGATGGGTGTCTGTTTCATTGTGGATGACAGCACCAACGATGACTGAGTGACACAAGGTGATGAACTTAGCGGTGGATCAGAAGCTGTTCTTGTTCGGCTCTCAGATAGTTGTCCAACTGCAAGATTACCACCACTGCTGTCTTTCACTACTAGTTCGGGTTTAGCACTATCATCTGATGATAGGTGGGCTACACGCTGATCAATTACACTGACTGTCTCACAAGTATGCATGCCTTCTGGAACTGCATCTGCGTTTAATTCTACTTCACGTTGTAGTTGTACAGAACCTTTATTTAACTTAGCAGTAGTAGGCATATCCCTCATCTCATCATGATCAACCAAAGACAACTGTGAAGTATCATGATCATTATCACGAATATTCACTTTACCGTCAACTTCATCATTTTCAAACTCTTTAATAACAGAAGTAGACAATTTTGGTTCCTCCTCGCAAATCATAAAGGTTTTATTACTTCACTCTGACTAGTAATACCTTGTAAACTTGTAGGGTCAGAACTGCACTCTGAAGCAGCAACTCTATTCTGTGACACTCTATTCAACAATGGCTTACCAGTTGCAACTACAGACTTCTTCGCCGCACCGTTATCGTCACACAATTCGGAGTCAGACCTGGAGTTTACATTTAGCTTATCACTGAACTTGCTCACCGGTTCACAGTTCACTTCTGTATGCACCTCTTGCACACGTGTAAAACACAACCGTGTTTGTCTTGCATCTTGTAACTTATCTGTTGAGGATGTACTACGAAACCTGTTACACTCACTAGGTCTATATGCATTACTAGACATCATGGAGCTTTCTCGATATCCACCTCTCTGAGGCCTACTCGTCATCAATGATTGCATTTTGATCTCAGACTGCTCTATTCTAGGGGTGAGATGTAATAGACTGGCGAACTTGCTCATAGATTGATTGACACTAGTATTTACCAGTTTCAGGATATCATCAAACTCATCAAGCTCATCTTCACCCACTTCCTTTGCAGTCGAGTAGGTAGACGTCTTGCTATTACTTCTAGTATAAAACTCGAGTTGAGGTCACTCATGCGATTCATCGAAATCATTCCATTCTTGTAAATTAGCAAATTATCTAAAAACTCAGTGAGTGCCTGGGAGTCATCCTGTAATTGACCACCATTACCCTTAACAGCCTCGAATAATTTCCCTGCAATCATCGAAGGTCTTCCAAACCTTTGACGTAATATGCTCATAGCCTCGTAGTAGCCCTCTTTTGGCTTCATAAACTTACAGCACTGTATAGCTCTTGCAGCATCTCCAGTGCAATATCTCATCAAATACATTAACTTCAATTCATCACTTAATAGAAAACCACTCAACATGATCTCAAACTCCTTTACAAATTGTAAATAATCAGCCGGGTTTCCATCAAAACACCGTGGTTCAAATTTAGGGAGTTTGATGTTCCTATTATCCCTGAACGGCGAAACAGTAACATCAACCATGTCATGCTTAACATCAGACACATCGTTACAAGTAACAGACAAGTCACCATGACTTACTTTCCTGTTTGCATCCAAGACACTCTGTCCCTTCTTTGACCCAGGCATTGTTGAACTTGACCCAATTCCAAAAAAGTTCCAGAAATTGCTTGTTCAAAGAGGACTTGACCGGCACCAGGAAAGATGAACGGTGACTATCCAAACTGTTACCAACTGTCTGAATCCGCCAAAGTCTGTTTCTACCATCAGAAACTGTCAGTCACGTCTCATAAACCGTTAATGCCCAGCTCTTGCTACGCTCGGGCCCACGCTGTTCTTCGAAGATTTCAGAAACGCTTAGTTATAACGGACGCAAAAACCAAAGCACCGATCTGCCGCTTGATATTTGTTTATTGTTACACCAACATATAAAAAGAATAAGCGAACTAAGGTTTCTGACGATGTTTCACTCTTCTTTCTGAACAGCGACCGATGAGACGATGACTGTCGTATTGATGCCTCCGCGAAAATTGGGGAAGTTGATTTTAAGCAAACAACCAAGAATTGATCGTTCAATCTTCAACTCCATTGACACCAGTGTATTTCTATATACTATTGAACTCTCCAGGAAATCTGCGAGTTCCTCCGAATTATTGTTTAACTGTGATCCATTACCTTTTACGGTCTCGAAAATTCTACGGGATATCATAAATGGTTTTCCAAACCTCTGACGTAGTATCCTCATAGCCTCTGTGTATCCTTGGTTCGAGGATATAAACTTGTAGTACTGTATGGCTCTTGCAGTAACACTAGTGCAATTACTCAACAAATACATAACTTCATTTCGTCATTTGAAACAAAACCTCAAACTCATTGGTAAACTCTGGGAAGTCCGCTGGGTTTCCATCAAAGTACCGAGGTTCAAACTTGGGGAGACTTAAAACACTGCTATCTCTAAACGATGAAGTGTGAACCTTAGACTCATCATGCTGAGCATCATGCATATCATTACAATTAACGGTCAACTCATCGTTACTTATTTTTTGTCTGCTTCCATGGTTCCATGTCCCTTCCTTGAACCAGGCATTACCGAACATCAGCAAAGAATCCAAATCGCGTTGATAATCCGTGTCCAAAGAGAAGCTGGCTACAGATCCAGTAGGTATACTCGGATGAGTTCCAAAATGCGCTCGAGAAAATGAACGGTAGAACAAAAACTGCCCCAAAAGGCGCTCCAGAAAACGAATAAAAACTGTCAGGGCACTTTATCCTAAGTTCCTATTGCTACGAAGACGCTCCGAACCGATAAATACCATGTACTTTCGTCGACTTTAACTTCAAAAACACCGGTATTGTAAGAAGGGAGTTATATTGTTTGGCAATCAAAGTGGAGAACAGTACAAATTTTTATTCGTTATCGTCCGTCTTCGCCGAGCTTGTACACGATTGAACCATTCGCGCATCCGAGTTGTCCACCGATGGCTACCAGTTCCAAAAACAAACGTTCAATGTTGACGTCCGTTGACGTGGGGTATCTGATAGTGTATCCACAAGTCCCTGTTTTAACAGTTAGAAACTTTATGAATATTCTATTTTTTATGATTAATGCAAGCACGAAGCAAGGTAGTGCATTGACACCTTTACTATTACCAATAATATTGCTGCTTATACAGGTATCACTACTGTAGTTTTTATATTAATCACCTAATACGTTGGCAGCTTGAAATGAGAACGGAATTATCCATCTTCGTTGGCCATAAATTTGGGCGTAATTCTGAATTTCCTTGAAAAACTGTAGATTAAACGACAGTAGCTGCTTCTGAATTGATGAGAGTAGTGTAAAGCATGAATATGTAACAACCGTCAAGACCCGACTAAAACGTCTGCTTTTCTTAGTCACTTCGGAAATCTTATTTAATTTCTCGCCATTGTAGACGCCATTCCGCCAGATTTTCTTTTTTGTCAGCATGCTTTCGGACCTATTAAACATACCATTCGTGAACACTGAGGACCAGGCTTCGAGATAATTTACAGAACATGTTACATAGTTACGAATATATTGTCAGTGGTTAAATTTCTAGAAGACTGGACACGGATCAGCATAATGTTTTTTAACCTCTGGGAATGTAATGTAGCAAAGATCATAGTTACTCAGTTACTCACTGTGTGAAGATAACTTCTCCTGTGTAGCGTCGAAAAGTAACTTCTACCTGCTTCCAGCCGACAAACAAGGGAATGGGATGAATCATCCGTGTGACGTGTTCACGGCATATACGATTGTATTTCTCATGCATAGGCAGCTCAGCACTCCTTATCTCTTTTTAAGACAAGACACATGTACAACCAAAACTACAGGTGCATAATAGCTTTGCCCCTGAGTTGCGGAAAAGTGAGCCGATCTTTTGAAAGAGTTTCAAAAACAGTGAAAAAGAAGTAAAGAACTTTCAGAAAACAGGTTTTGCACACTTCGTAACTACAGGCTTAATCACCCAGTAGCATTGTAGTCGACAACAATCCCCGGACAATTATGCCCTGCCATTAGGTCGGTATGGACATCTTCGTGGTGACCTACGAAGCAGGTTGGTGTGTGCTGACATTTCTTTTCTCTTTGGGCTTACCGCTCCAGACAGCCTTTGTCAGCAGCCGTGGTAAGCTGTACTGGCAGTGACGCCAGGTATCTGTCTCAATGAAATGTCCTCAAGATCAAACTGAGTTTCAACCCACAAATAATTCACCCGATCAATGGGTTCCAGTTAAACTCGTCCCTGACATCCCGCAGTTTCTCCTGTCCATTTGCTTTCTCACTTTACCTATTCACTCCTTTGATTTTTAATTGCTATTTGTATACCTATAAATTTGTTTTTTCGTTAATTATATCATTGTTATCAAGATTATCAATCTTTTTGAACACGGTGAATGGCACAGCAGTTTAAACACACTGCCTGCTGCAAATCACATACAGACGACCTTCCATAACATTTTCCTCTGGGTCCATCAGAACCGTGCAAAGGGATTTTCGAGGCAGAACACAAGCAGTAGCTACCCAGAGATCGATAGTTGTGAGTAGGATGTTCGGTATTGGATATATATACTAGGCGTCGACCTTGGGTTTCGGCGAAATTTTAAGCCAGTCATCCGTTGGCCATTTTTTATACTGGCTGTTTGTGTGCTACACATGCAAAAGTAACATTTTCCTAAAGTCTGTTTCAGCGGTTAAACATTCAGCATTGTAAGCCTGTGCTCCACAGCTATGTAGTTTGTGTCTGACATCCTAACTGTGTTGTGGTTTCCTGTTAATATTTACAGCAATACGTCTATAACCTGGAATCACTCTCTCGTCTGTCTCCTCGTTTAATATAAAACCAAAATGAGAGGTGTACGTTTTAGGCTGATTTCTTATAATATTAATTAGTTATTGCAGAAAATATCATATCTTATTCCCTTATTTCTTTGTGACTAGTTTAATAAGTTCAAAGCCTGCACTTTTATTGCAAGTCGTTTTTCATATGTTCTAGGATGTTCATTTTCCGGCCGATTTTAACGACAATAGTAGCTGAAAATTATTACTGAACTTGTAAAGCCGTAATAAGTGTTTTTAAGATGTTATATGTTTTGAAACCAGACTAGTTAGACAAGCTAGTTTGGTTGCCACTGTGAGACGGTAGCAAGACCGATAAAGACGGAAGTTTGGGTGTGAGGCTAACAAACCCCAACCCATAAAAATAAACCCACTGCTACCGAAAGCAAGCGCTATGTTCCACCCGGAACGTGGAGTTTAAAAAACAAATAAAATGTATCATTTATCCATGTATTCTGTTTGATGGTGTGACACGCACAAAGGTTTTGGTTAGCTGGCTAATGTCTTGTGGTTGCGGATGATTGCTTGTTCGGTACATGATGTTGTGCTCTGATATCACTCATGATCAAACGAATATACTCACTCCTTACGCTTAGAATTTCACACCCTTTTATCAATCAGCACTTTAACTATGCTCTTTTCCGATATCAATACGGCGTAATGTCATTTTGATTGAGCTGCTTTTGTTTTTTTTGGCGTCTTGGTTTGTTTCGACTTGGGCTAATGCATTTGTACATGAGGTCCTAGGTTCATGTCAGCATCAAACAGTTCACTGTTCCAGCGTTAACCAGGATTTGAGTTTTTTTGGGTATAAATTCTAACCCTCAAAATAGTATTGCAAGTATGAAGTTCTTGTATAAATATAGTTGATCGCACAGTTTAAGTTTCGACTTTTCATTCAGAAGTAAACAAAAGTTCACATCACTGGACGTAGGTATAACGTGTATAACAAACTACATTAATGTAGAAAGTGAAACATTTGGCAAACTATCTCTAAGAATTTCTGGGAGAAAACTAAGTGTTACATATGCAATAGATAAGGTTGGGTTGCTGTCCAATTAATTGAGGTAATTATCAGATAATTCTCTGATGTTCTTGTCGTAGTAGTTCGGTGAGAGTAGTCCTCAGCTGCCATCACACTGATTAAAAAGTTTGCAACTTTACTGTGAAATATATAACATCATTTCGGAAGTTAGAAGACTTGAAGATTCCTGTTAACTGTCGAGGTTGTCAGCAATCATAAGTTTAAAAAAATACGAAGACAATGAAAGCCACAAAAGTCTTGGCGAGTTAGGATAGCTAAAACTAAGATTGAAGAATCTGTGATTTCCTGGATACTTCCACGCTTTCATATCAGCATTTATTTCTTTAAAAATATTTTTGATTCCAGCTTGATTCCACACCATATTTTTTGGTACAGGTATGGAATTTTCAGCATGTGATATCAGTAGCCCAAATTTAAAGGCCGACCATAAATATCAGGTGTGCGTCGGCAGGGGATCGAACCCCGGACCAGCGAGAGTGCTAACCACTGTGCATACAGTTTGAACAAGTCGATTACCCGTACCGTGAAATTTTTTGAGAGGCCTGAAAGTTAACATTTATTTTTCACATAGTCGGAAGAACATTCACTGAGTGCATGCACAGAAATTAATATTAGGACGAATCACCATCTTGGCCTTTGCAGTGTCATTAGTCAAACAACACACTCAACGGTTATTTACTGGAGTTTCGCTCTTCTTGCTACAGGTGATAATCTAATGCTTGAAAGGTTAACAACAAAATAAGCTCCCTGACTAAATGGTGAATTCACCAAGCATATAGAAGACAAAACTAACAATCCTATCCACGATTATGACTTAGACTTGTGAAGTTTTATCTTAAGCAGTTTCTGTTGGTGATTAGAACTTATACGGCGAGATGGAAGGTACGACGTTTTGTATCTGAGTTTTCTGAATTCTTCAGAATAATAAACTAGTGGGGCTAGTTTTCATAGGTAAATACCTCATTTCTGTCACACTTATGTTTTCACAATTTCTTCTTCCGTTTTAAATTTCCTCTTTGTTTTAATTAAAAGGATTGTGAAAGTAAATGTGCAGTTAACACATATGCTGTACTGGCTTCTTATCAAATGAACTTATCGTTCACTTTGATCATTGTGTCAGGTGATTGTGGTTACCAGGTTAAGGTTGAAATATTTAGTCGAGCTTGTACTAAATCGGCTGTAGACTTCTAAATCTTATTCATCCACTTATAAAGAGATTGTACTGTTCAGCATTAATGCTGTTTAAAAAATGTTCCTGCAATAACTTTTCATTCTTGGATGGAAACCTATTTGTTAATAAAATTAAAATATAATTTGAAATATATTTTGTTTTACTCTTTGTATGCTGAATCCAGTGATTATCTTATTCTTTACATTAGCTTAAAGGTTTTGTTTCTGCTGTTTCACAGGTTAATATGAAAGACCCAAACAAATTAAAAACTGAAGCTAACGAACTTTTCAAGAAAGGTCTTTACCAAGAAGCAGTTGAGTTGTATGATAAGAGCTTGCTTTCATGTGATTCGGATGATAATATGAAGCTGATACTGCAAAACAATAAAGCTCAATGTTTTTTAAATCTCAGTAACTATAAGGATGCACTGACAGCTTCTTTAGAAGGTTTGTTGATTCATTTAACCGCCTAAATACCCAGCACTTAAAATATCTCCTAGCGACTCAAAAGCTCTCTACCGCTGCACACAGGCATATGAAGGCATAGGAATGTTAAAGGAGGCTTTAGAAACTGTGAGGAGGTTGATTCATGTTGACCCAAAAAATAAGGCAGCTCAGAATTTGGCTCGAAAACTGGAATCTGCAGTCACAGCATACGTTGCGGAATCTGAAAGTTTATCAGGAAAAGTTAACAAAATGTTTGATGTGATAAATGATAACTCTAGCTCAGTTGAGAAGTTGGAACAAGTAACTTAATATTAGTCAGTTGTAAAATAAACTTTTTAAGGCTATTACCAATCTTACAGCCTTGACTAAAGAAAATCCACGGATTGCAAGTTCACTAATCTGGGCAAATCGTATTTTTCCAAAGATTTATGTTTTATGCCAGACAACCGAACACAAAGTGACCACTGCTTGTCATCGTCTGTTGGCTCAACTAATGGAAGATGACCGGGATCGGGTATGTTGTTTTGTACTGATTTATTATTGTGGTGTCGTATAATCCCTGGTATACTTTTTGCACCGGGACGTTGAAACTGTAATTTTAGATTTTCTGAGGATAAAATTAATGCTCATTTTCTACGTACATGTTCGTTTAAAAGTCAATTTGAAATGGTGGTAAACAATGATTTTTATGTTTCTTTCGTAATCACAATACATCAAATTGATCTCTTGTTATTTTGCTCATCAATCACCTGATGGGCAGTCACCTATTCGTATTACTAATTGCAAAGATTTTTCTGGTTTTCAAACGAAACTTTCAATTAGTCATTGCACTCGGATAGACCGTAGGTTTGTTATTGGCTTTTAGGTTGGTGGAAGACGATTTACTTCATCTGTGCATGCGTATGTTTGCATCTCCGTGAACGTGTAAAATGACATAAAGCTCTCGGGGTTCAAATCGATAATAGGATACTGTCAATGAAACATCGTAGCTCAGAATCGTTCACAATACCTTAAACGTATAGTGTATCCACTATAAGGTGAAAATAATACAAGGTTAGTCTGTATTTACTTCCAGTTTAATGGAGAAGTGAAATCATGTAAATGCTGATGAACTTATTTAGAAGATTGTTTTACTTGTTGCTGATGCAGGCAATTGCCGAATCGCATCACCTTTGACACAGATGTGACATCGTGGTACTTATCTAAGGGCTTATGTACTCAAGACAGTGGTACTGAGTAGAGGGGAGAAGTCAGCCGATAAGTTTTTGGGATTTCATAATTTGACCTGGCTAGACTGGTCGAGTCATCGCCTTCTGGACATTCAGTGTTAGAATTAGTGGGATTAAGTTGGAGAGGAGTTGGTGTTAATGAGCCCAGAATGTGGCACCGATCCATGAAGTCACTGACTGTTGGTCTGCGGAACGCAGGCTTATGCAAACTGCTTGATTGGGGGTACTTCAGAAACTTTGTGAAAAGGATCAAAATAGTTTACAACTGGAAATGTATTCACTCTTTGTTACCATCCAGGCTCTAAAGGTGCTCACTAATGTTCATTTGATAATTTAATCTCTGGCACATACATTACATTACTTTTCTTTAATTTGGGCTTTCCGGAAGTGTCACAACTTAAAGTGATGCACAGTTGTACATCTAGTTGTGGTTTTATCAGCGAAATTTTCATCTCTTGTCATATATTGGGACTTGTGCATTTCTATCGGTAGTTGACATTAATTGCATTCCTCAGTACTTTAAACCACTGTGGCTAATAGGTCTTATTGCAATGAATCTTATTGGAAGTGATGTCAGAAAAATCCATTTTCTCATCTAAAGTTTGTTTCCTCGAACACCGGTGCTTCTATTCTATTAACATATCTAACCAGTAACTCCTGTTGAGACTGACTATTAAAAACGTCCTCACGGAGTTGTTTATTTCCACATCCACTGATAAATGTAGGTTAAATAGGGTTGTGTTGTATGTTTAACGACGTTTTGATTTTGATTGTGTTGTACTTAATTATTTCTTCGTTGTTCGTCAGGTAGTTTTAGAATAAAAACTATAAATGGATCGTTTCTTGCATTTATGGGAAAAATAACGAAAGGTTAATCCACTGAGTCGGAAATAAAGTTTGGAAAATAGGCATATGTGCAAATGTCTTGGCTTTACTCTGGTGGTTAGTGCATTACTGTTTGTTTTCACAAAAACATTGACTCCCAACTGTGTAAATAGGATGTTCAATCCACATGTTTCTGAAGACATAGCAGCAAATTAGTGGGAACGACAGCTTTTCAGGTAAAAATATCATCCTTCTTAGTTGTTTATTAGACTGTCATTTGAATAGTGTCGCCATATTTACGTATATCATGTGTCTCTTACTTTTTCTTCACATTCTAGGGTCTTACTGTTCTCAACCAACTTACACCACTGTATTTTGTGAAAGGAATTTATTCACGCAAACCTGAAGAGTCTATTGAACGATGCCGTTTTCTAAATTCACTATTAGAATCACTCACTCAGTTAAAAGCTTATAAGAGGGCTAAAGAAGCTGCTAGTACTATTAAAGATGAAGAAACTAAAAAGGTTGCACCATGCGCTTATCCTAGATACAAGATTGGTAAGTTAATGTCCCATAGTTTGTGGATTTTTCTGTGTAAGCAGTGTGTGTCTTACACTAATGTGTGGAAATAGTTCAAAAAGCAATTTTATTAAAGAAATGTATAAGGTGATGGCTTAGTTTGAATATCGAAGTGAATCAGGCAATTAAAGAAGCAGTGCATAACACTGGTCATCATTTTATATAAAGTATATCAGCCTTAAGGTGGAGGTAAATTACTTCAATGGTGATTTAAATACTTAATAATTCTATTCTTATCGTATATTTAATTGTTGTCGCAAAGACTTATTCACACATCATTTATGCAGTGGATTGCTTATTATCATGTTAGTTTGTTTATGCAACGTTATACACAACGGTACAGTTTTTACTGGATGGTGTTGAATACAACCTGTTGCTCATTTGTGCTTAATTTTTGGTTAGCAGTTGAATATTTGTAGCTAAATTTCACTGGTATGGGTGGATTCAGTTAGTATTCTTCGTTTGTTTTACGGAAGAGTGAATTATGCATGCCTACTTCTACAGAAATATGAAGTGGTATTTACAGACTACTAATGATTTCTTAGATTTTGTGAATTTTTACATTTGCTTGTTATCGTTGGATTTTTCGTAAGTAGCGAAATTCGACATTGTTTACTAATATTTGTGATTTCTCATCCGAATAAAGGACATCCTAAATTCCAACGCTATCTACCAACAGAGAAGCAAATTAAAATTGTAAATCGTAGTAATGCGTCGAGGCGTGCGTTCACGGAGCCCATGTGACAAAATAAGATTGATCAACTCGGCATAAACAGGAAGTCATAGGTGTGATAAATTCCCATGTCATACAATTAAGAAGATATAAGTGAGAAAAGGAATCTTTTTTAATAGCTTCATTTCATAGCTGTACAGTTATTTAGGGGGTTTATATGTACAACGTTAATTAACAAAAGGAGTAGGGGTAATTGTCATTGATTAACAAATTAAGTTAAAATGCATGACTAACGACAATGTGTAAAAAAAAATTGTGGACAATTTCACGTAAAATCTGGAGGGTTGACAGCTAAGCAGTCAAGTGATGAATAATCCTTTGGAACTAACTGATAAAAAAAAACATGAGGATACAGGACTGAAAATGGGTTTCAAAAATTAAATTGAAAAAAACAACAACTACATGGAGTTTATTAAACAACTATTCAGTGAAAGAAAAATTCTCACCAACGCCGCTGTACAGGAAGCTCAAATTTTTCCTTATGGATTGCTAAGGCTTCGGTTGCATGAAGATATAGGCGAATTCCTTTTGAACGGCTTGGTTGTACCCTATATATGAATGAAGTCTATACTGATACCACGTGATCAGAAGTAGTAATATGCTTCAGAATTGAGCTGTTGAATGTTTCGTGTTCTTTTGACAACCATGCTGGTAAGTTTTGATGAGCAGGTCTAAACAATGTCTCACTGGTGCGACCAATGTATCAATAAATGTCAAATCATACTCATTAGATGAAAGGTGGCTCTCGTGACCCATTACCTTACTGGATAACGCCTTGTTATTTGGAACGACGACTGCTGGGTTTGAGTTTCATTTAGGATACCACTGCCCTAAGTAGAACGAAACGTATGTCATGAATTCCACTGCTGCCTTTCACCAAGCAGGTAACTTAAACAAAATTTACTCTTGATCATTCTTCGATTCTGTCGACTGATATTTTCATTCAGCAGTCTTTTACAGTGAATTCGCACGTACTATCTTGATTAAGTGTCATATCTGTACAGACCGCTCAGTCATGATATGTTAAACTATATTGTTGGAAAGTATGGTAACTTGACTCAGCTCATATCAGAGAAGTTAATTTGTGTGTCTTTTAGTCGTTGAATTTTGTTCAAATCTAATTTCGTAGTTTACTATTAGATACAATGGAGACTGCATGGATCTCTTTTTACAATAATTGTGACATTTAGATTTTCAAAATTTATTGACACAGCTTGTTTGTAGTATGAATATTTGTTTGTCTTTATAATATATATAATAAGATTATCATTTTCACAAGAAAAGATTCTATGTGTCAATCGCTCTGACTGTTTTTTATATTATAGATGCTACAGTTGAAAAGCCGGTGGAGGAAATTTTAATACATCTTCTTCGATCTGTAAATAGTTATCGTTTAAGTGCTCAGTCTCGAGACTACATATTAGAAATATTGATTAAATTTATTCCCTCTGATAAAGGTATTGGATGGTCACAGAAAATTGTGAAAACCGAAGGTATGCGTATTACAGCTTTTGTATGTTTATGCACACATTTTGTTGACCTGCTGTTTTTGTGTAGCCTTTTCCCCTACTTTCAACAGATTGATTTTTCTAATATATAATAATATTGGTAATCTTTGTTTACTTCCCAAAACAAAACGGAAATGAATCTAACCTATTAGAAATGTTCTAGTGTATCCAACGTATTTTTCCCTAAAGAGAAAATTTTGACTAAGCAGCTGACTAATTGTCTAAATAAGAATCCACCGCCAAAATGACGTTGACAGGCATATTATTTTATGTTATAATGCAATTTGCTTTGCCATTGAAATTTTAGTCTTATTTTATATCCGCTTTTATTATTGAGGCCACAGAAATTAAGTTTAATAGTCTTCCACTGATAGTCGAATCACCGGTGGGTCGGCAAGTAGCTGTCGTATTCCATGTTGTTGGGTTAGCCAACAAGACACTGGTGATTATGCAGGTTGAAGAGAAAGGCACTATAGTCACCGTGACTTGTACTGTCAACAACAATTGCGGTCTATTGGGATTACTATTTGAATATCCCATTGATTAGTTTTTTGGACCTAAATGCTGAGTCTCTGTTTACATATTGGCGTTTGTTACGAACTCTTAGGAGATGCTTTGAGTTTAATTTGATGTCACTTGGTCAGTGGTGGCTGTAGTAGAATCCAGAACGCTTGTTTCGGATATAGGACGATGGACAAGTCTTGGATTCCGATGCCAGTCGCTGCCAAACAATGGTGACTTTAATTACTGTGCCAGTTGTAGTACAATTTTTATTGAATAAGCTTAAAAAAGTGAATTGAACAGTATGTTATTTGACATAGCTAGCTGATATAATAGCTGCGCTTCACAGCGGATACGATAGTTGTGCATCTTTCAGTCGTATGTAGAATTAATTGCAGTCTCTATAATCAGATGTAGCATCCATATCTGAATACTTATATCGATGAACCCTCATCTGGAGATCATATTACAGTTATTGGGTATCAACGAATAGAAAATTCAGTGCACTACCATTTTATGTGATCTAATTCAAAGGTGACTCTTTAGGGATCTTTTTTTGTTGTTGAAAAATTGAACTAGAAGCTTTTCATGCGTGTTTTTCTTGAATTTCGGTTATTAACTGTGTACATTGTCGTGTTTATTTAAATGCTACTTTTATTTGAAGCAAAAACCAATAATAATTACTTGAGCTAATGTGCATGTCTTTTTAAATTTTATTTTTCAAGGTGTTATAGACTGCTTATTAGAGGTAGGGTGTGCGTGCGGAACTACATCTTTGAAGAACTGGCGATCCCGTCGTGCTAAATACTCTAATTCTGACGCAAATGAATCAGATCATCAAAAATTACCTGATGGGGTTCGTTTGGCAACTACAAGTGATACTCGTATGACTGTAGCTTGTTTATTGGCCAAATTTTGGGAGGATTTAAGTTCGGATAAGCTTAGAGATGATTACACTAAAACATGCAAGGATTTTATCATGTAAGCGAAAGCAGTCAGCACTTACTTTTTTATACGCCCTTATTATCCACTGCACAGCGTTTCGCTTAAAACTCACCTAATTTATAATTTTAGACAGTGGAAATAAAATTATGATAAAATCACTTTATTTTTTGGCTTATTTCTATCAATAAATAAGAAGGAATTCTGGAAATTGTTGAAGAGAGGATGCTTCCACTTGTATCTTACTTTGGAAGTGTAGTGAGCAGTTGGAAGATATTAACAAAATATTTCTTTGAAAGAAACAATACAGAGAAATAGATCCTTAGTCAGAATGATTGTTTGTTCCTTTGACGCCAAAAGGGAGTTAAACAACATCAGCTTTCTTTACGTTTACCCATATTGGTTAACCTGCATACAGCGTTTTAATAATAAAATAGACGTCAGAACTCAGTTAACCCGAACAAAAATTTTCGTGCACCAGAATATAAAATACTCTTATAATGTGAGGGCTAAAGTATATGGAACGGTGCTTGACTTCAGGACCTACTCGCTATATAAACTATAAACAAACGAACCACATCTCCACGGATAGGAACAGTCTGTAATTTTGTATTGGACATGATGTTGGATTGGGTAGCTGCTTTTTGTTTAACCGCTATCCAAACAACCTGCCTGGCATGGTAGAACCTCAAGAGACATAAGTCTCAGCCAGTATAGCTTGATTAGGTCATTGCGGTGTTCAAGCCCGACCACCACGTCAAGGTAGCAGCTTTCGGTCGGGGGATAGGAACAGAGGTAAACATTTGCGAATTCGAAGTGGAATTTCTGTTTTCTGTTGCCATTAGTGAATATGCGACATAATAGTTGTTCTAGTGTCTAGATACAGAAGGTGAGAATGTTGAGGACTCTGAGAATTGGTGCATATGAGACATTATGGAATTTTCAGGCTACTTCGCATTGGCATTCCAATCTCTGACGTTTACCACTTTCAGGACTTTATTCATGCTCTTTACGTGGCTCCAACGAACAATCAGTGTGTCTGTCTAAACAGTCTTGAACTTTTAAATCGAATCCTGGTTTTCATAACATTGCTATTTTAAAAGTCTGGCATGTTTCACACTGGTCTAAGGATCACAGGGCCATATGTTGTATTCTTTTTGATAAGTACAGGTACATGCATTAGTTGCAGATGAGTAGCGTAAATATCAGATGGTATTTATGATCACCAATATCTCAAGACTGAATTATTTTCTAATAGTCTTATTGGGCAATACAGTTTTTATGATGCGTTTTTGTGAGTTTTTCAATATGTGAGATTATGATAAAAGCAGAGACTGTATTTCGTTTTATCCATGCTTTTATTTTTGTCATCACTTATAGTAATCAGCAATTTAGTTCCAAATGACACTACAACTAAAATGTATTATTTATTATTATTTAAACGCAGAAAAAACTTGGTACAGTATGGCATCAAGAAAAATGCGCCACACAATAATAATAAAACAATATAGGTTAAAAGTAAAAAATATAAGTATAGAACGGATAAAGAACTTCATTTGGAAGGAAAACAGTCATACTTAACAAGTTCAAACAGTATTCGTCAACCATCGTCGGGAAGGGAAGAAAGAAGGAAATTGCAGCACGTTCGCCATTGACCACGATTCTTGGCCATATCCGATAACGTTTTGAGCCATTGATTCGAGCTATCTCGCGGACCCCAACAAGGGAGTGGTGATGCACCAACCGATGTTAATCTAGCACAAACATCCTTCATCCCACGACTCCACGTCATGGACTGACCACCCCTTCGCCTTTTCCATCCCTTCCCAGGGCTAGCGAACAGAGACCTGTACGGAAGCCTCTGGGATGACGTTCGCAGCACATGTCCAAGCCACCGGAGCCGGTGTTTCCAGATGACGACATTCAATGAATGGTGATCTCCACTGTGTTCAGACACACGCCACCGAACCTCAGAATTACTCACGCGATGATGCCATCGAACGCAAGCAATCCTGTGGAGACAGCGGTGATTGAACACGCAGAGTCGCCGCACATTCTCAGCTCGGAGAGGCCAGGTTTCACAGGCGTAGAGCGAGACAGCCCACACCGAAGCATTGTATACTTGACCTTTGACAGCCAGGCTAACGTCACGACGGCTCCAGAGGTGGCTGAAGTTGATGTATGCCACCCTAGCCTTCATTATACGGTTGTAAATCTCATCCGTCACTTCTACACTAGCACTCACACAACTACCCAGGTACACAAACTTGTCAATAACTTCAAGCGGTTCATCCGCAAGAGTGAGTGCAGGTACAGGCTCCTGCCAATCTTGTAACAGTACTTTGCACTTAAACAGCGCAAAGTACATACCATACTTATAGACACTGACAACTAAAATGTGTTCATCATAGTCACGTAAAATGACTGTAACTTAATCAGTGGAATTGTAGTGTATAGTTGTAGACCCCCTTCTTTTAAATGGCGTGTGGCGAGTACAAATCCAACCTGGTCTAAGTTACTGATGGTTTAACACTCGGCTTCTGACAAAGCATATGTGAACTAACACAGTTCCTAACCAATCTTACTTTATGACGTTTATGACTTGCGAATTTTTTTTCTGTAGTGATCTTTTTGCTGACCATTATCTGGAAACTAAAGTTGAGGCTGCATCACTTATTGGCACATTATTTCTCGGACCTTATGAAGTTGGGTCAGCAGTCATTTCTCAAGAAGGCGTTTTCGATGGTCTGCTTCTCCTCACACAGTGTGAAAATAAACTTTACCAGGTAAGTGATTTTGTCTACTTATTTGTGATTCCTTCTTGAGTATTTATGGTGATAGTAGATTTCTCTAAGCATTTGAGGTAGTACTACGTTCTAACTGTAGAAGACTCAGTCAGATCAGTTGCTTCTGTGGTTCTGTAGTTGTGTTGATTCGCTGTGGACCCATGGTTGTATTACTCACTTTTATGGGGTTTTTTCATCTCTGAAAACAGATACCACTGAGTCAAAAAATATGCATTACATGTACGATATATTTGTATTTCAGTATTGCATTCACATTAACGCTCAGGTTTGTCTTTTTTTGTTGTTGTAATTATGCATAAAAATTTGACAGATTTAAATAAGTGGCTGTTTAAGTGTTTGCTGTCATCTGTATTTGTCTCATTTGAATACCTTCTAAACCTCATCGGTTTTCTTGATTCGACTTCAGCTGTAAAGTGTAGTTTCTTATGATTCAGCATGAATTATTTCATGAGATCAGGATCTTTTTCAATCTAAACATAAACATGAAGTATAGAGCTGTAAGTTTCATCGACATGGCATATAGTCCTTTGGGATAATGGCCGACAGGTATAGGGAAATGTAAAACATTAAACTTATGAACCCACAAAAAGTTACACCAAAATGAGGTTTCACCTTAGTATTCTGATAATTTGCATGTTTACCCATGCAGCATGTGGAAACTGCAATGCCGTCACCATCAAACACTTTGGCTGAGAGGTGGTTTGCACATTTGGACGGTGCGAGCTCAGCCAGTGATTGAATTATTCCAAGTCAGTCCCTCCGAGACGTCTCTTACGAATCAGAAAAATCCTTTCCGTCCTCCCGTTAGTCACTAAACAGGGATATATAACCAGGGACTCTTGCGCACTGGAGACAGCCTATCCTCCCTCGTGGAAACCCGGTTCTGACCTTCAACCACTAACCCGCCACATGCACACCATTTTTGATGTGACTTTCTTACCTGATGCCCTTCCGACAATCCATGATAGGATTACCACATCATTTAAGGCCGCTCGCTAGTCGTGAGTCAAAGTTAACTGGGTCCTACCCCTCTCGCCCAAACTTATAGTAGATCAGGTTTTCCCGAAGCACCGTACTCTGCACTAAGCCTGAGGGGATTTCCCTGCACCGTCCATTCGAGCTGAGTAGCCAGAAGCGAAAGTCGTCCAGGTTTTGTGGAAGCACTTAGCTTTAGCCTAGTAGACCGAACCGTCATCAGCGGGCGCCACGGGGAGGTGGTTGCTGTGTGTAACTCATCTCTTTCAATCTGCCTTTTCTCGTGCCTAAGTGAGTTTCTTTACGTGAATACTCAGAGCACCGAACGGATTAGTGTAAGAGAGATTAGGTCACCAAAAGGAGGCGTATAAATTTATACAAAAACATCAGTATTAGGAAAGTATACGGTGATCACATAGTTTCGCGTCTCACAATACATACACGTCATTTCCACAAGAATTAGATGCTGAGGCATTTGGCTGCCTTAATTGAGTCATAATTAGTTGGTAAACTTTAGTTAACATGTGTTATATCGGTTAACGTCCCATAATACCTCGGTCACATTCATAGAAGTGTACAGTCATCTGTCAAACGAGCTTTCGATTTAAGAAACGTGAAAACTTCTAGTTAGAAATTAACAGTAACTTCATATATCATAGTCAGATGTTACCGCTGTCACTTATACCATGGGACGACGATAGACAAGGAGACAGAAAATACTTTGGACTTTATTGATTCACTAATACTCACCAAATTATTTATGACTTTCAGTTTCATTTCTTTATATTTATTCTTAGACAGTTGCACTGGATACAATAGTCATTGCTACGCATAAAAAACAACAGTGTTTAAGTGTCATTTCAAAAGCTGTACCCTTGTTGCAATCGTTATATAAGAGTGAAAATGATGGCACCAGAATTCGAGCACTTGTGGTAAGTTCATCAACAGATTTCTTAATTATTTAACTACTGTTTCATAAGAATGCCAACAAACAACTAAACCAAAATTTCTGTGTTTGTTTGTGTAAAAGGCTAACCTTAATAGCCTCATACTAAGTAATAAGTACACTAGTTGGAGACACTGGAGATGTATACAAAATGTTTATTCTATTCATGGTCCAACTTGGCATTCATCGATTAAGAGACAGTTTTGAATAAGAACAAGAACAATATTGTAGGAAGAATATTATAGAGAATTAGGAACTAGGTATACAAAAATAGATATCCACCTTTTGCTTTTGTTTAATATTAATAACTCACAACTGTCTTTTATTTTGTTTTCGTGCCTGACCTTAGTGAAGTATTATTTTCAATGTAAAATAGTGCTGCTTTAGGTAATGAGATATCTGAAAGTGATGTCCTCGTCAAACTCTTACCTAATATCTTTTTGAATGTTTGTTGCATGATAAAAACTGGCACCTTACACAGTCATTGTTTGCTAGTAATTACCTTCATCAGAATAATCTTTTGAAAGAATTGGTAAAGGAATGTTTATTTGGAAATTGGTATCTCTATATAGCTAAATTATGTACACCTCATCTTCAACGCACCATTTGCACAGATCTTCGTGTTGTGATACTTCTGGCCTTTATATTGTGTGTCTTTGTGTTCCTTTCATGTCGCCCATGTATCTCCACAAAGCTGTATCATTCGCCTTTTCTCTGACATCGAATGTATCTTCCTGCTACTTGATGTTTTTTTATACCGATGAACGTCTCTTCATACACTACTGATGAATATTATCAGTAGCGCTTGCCACGCTACTACCGTTGCTACCAAAGACAGTTTTTTTGAGCATTCATACATGTTTACTCATTTTTTTTGGTTTTTATTTTAGGCTTTATGTAAACTTGGTGCCGCTGGAGGCACTGATGCCAGTGTTAAAAGTCTCACAGATGGTTCAAATCTACTTCTACTTAAAGCATGTCGTCGCCTGTTATTGGGTGTGGAACAACCAGATCCAGATATTGACGATGTAGCTGCTAACAAGTCAGCTGATGTTCACTTTGATTCTGAAGGACAAGTTGTCTTAGATGAAGATGATAATGATGATGAAAATGAAGTCGAAGAGAAGCCTCTGACTAAATCCACGAGAACTAAAAGGAATAATGTGTCTAATAATGGTTCTACTATTCATTTCAAAGATTTAGAGTCGGCCCACTGGGGCGTTGAAGGCATGGCTTACTTAACTATGAATGCAGAAGTAAAAGAAGAGATCATTGAAGACCGTGAACTCGTGATGGCTTTATTGATGTTCGCTCAAGTAGGTTATTCTGAATGTTATAATTAATCCTTATTTCGAATACACATTAGATTTTAAATATGGTAATTTCTTATATGGTGTAGTCCACTGTAAGGATTCTTACCATTTGTATCGGTGATTTTAGTTATAACGTCGTAGATAAATCCTAGCCTTCTGGTTGGTCAGAATTTTAAATTTCATGAGGTCAAAATACATTTTATGAATACGGTTTTTCTGAAATTTATCAACAAAAATGATTAAGGACTTTTATTGCATTATTATTATTATTATTATTATTATTATTGTATCCTTTAGTTCCTAGAGGAACATAGAGCTTCAGCTGCGCACCTCCATTGCCTTCTGTTTCCTGCCAACTTTTTCATCCGGCTCCAAGTCTGTCCACATGCTTTCATCACCTCCTCACATGATCTCCTCCAAGTCACCCTTGCACTGACGACCAACTCGCCACTTCCCTTTCGGATTCCACTCGAGCAATGGGTTGTCTAGTGATGTCACTTGATGGTTTTCTCAGAGTATGGCCAAGCCATCTCCATTTCTTCCTGCCTATTTGTTTCACAATCGGTTCCTGGTTGGTTCGCTCCCAGAGATCCCTGTTGCTGATCTACTCTGGCCGGCCATCTGATCTTGAGTATTGAGCGAAGAAAACTGTTAATGAAGGTCTGAAGTTTGTTGGAGATGCTCTTTATGACGCGCCCAGTCTCTGATCCGTATAGTAGCACTGACTTCATATTGGAGTTGAAAATCCGGTTCTTATTTTTCATTCTGAGTGATGTTGACCTCCACACAGACTTAAGAGTAGTGAAAGCTTGTCTTGCTTTTCCGATCCTTGCTTTGATATCCTTGTCAGTTCCGCCTGTAGTTGAAACGATGCTTCCCAGGTAGGTAGGTGAAGGATGTTGTTTCTTTCAGGTTCCTCCCATTTATGCTGGCTGATTGTTGTCTGTTGTTGTCGCTGTTGGCCAGGAATCTTCACCACCTTTGTTTTCTCTATGTTCACCTTATGTCCTATCTTTGATGCTTCTTCTGCCAACTTGTTGCTTTTCGCTTGCATATCTTCCATGGTATGGGAAATCAGATATGTATTTTCGGCGAAGTCCAGATCCTCCAGGTTTTTTGTGTGAGTCCATTTTATGCCTGTCTCCTCGTTGACCGGCCTGCTGTCTGTCGCATTATCCAATCTACTGCAATCAGGAAGATCATTGGTGATAGTAGACAGCCTTGCCTCACTCCCGTCCTCACTTCGAAGGCTTCCGTAAGTTTCCCGTTGTGGATTACTTGGCATGCAGCATTGTCGTATAACTGTTGGATGAGATGTATAATTGTCGATGGGACCCCGTAGTAGCGAAGTAGTTTCCAAATGACCTCTCGATCGACGCTGTCGAAGGCCTTTTCAAAGTCGATGAAGTTGAGATAGAGAGGTGACTGCCATTCCAAGCTTTGTTCAATGATGATCCGTAGAGTGGCGATTTGATCAATACATGATTTGTTTCTCCTGAATCCAGCCTGTTCCGGACGAAGTTTTTCATCTAGGGCTTGTTTGATTCTCTCCAGGATGATGCGACTTAGTATCTTGCTTGGAATGGACAGAAGCATAATTCCACGCCAGTTTTTACATTGACTTAAGTCTCCTTTCTTTGGAAGTTTGAATAAGTATCCTTTCTTCCAATCCTCGGGTACTTTGCCCTCTTTCCACACCTTCTCCAGCAGTGGTGTCATCAAGTCCGCTGTTGTCTCTGGGTCTATTTTCAAAGCTTTTGCTGGGATTCCATCTGGTCCCGGTGTTTTCCCAGCTTTTAGCATCTTGATTGCATTCAGGACTTCTGATTTCGTCGGGGGGTCAGTGTTCACTGGTAGTTCTGCTTCCGTTGTTGGTATTGCTGGACGTGTTGTAGGTGGCGGACGATTTAGAAGTCTTTTGAAGTGTTCAACCCAGTGCTTTCTCTGTTCCACCTCTTTGGTGATTGACTTTCCATTGTCGTCCTTTATTGGCTTAATCTGTGTCGAACGTTTGCCCGAAAGGTGCCTAGTTGTTTGGTAGAGTGTGGCGAGGTCTCCTTTGCCTGCAGCTTGTTCTGCTTCGTTTGCCATGGTTTCATAATATTTTCTTTTGTCTTCCCTGGCACTCTTCTTCACTCTTTTGTTCAGTGTATTGTAGCTTGCATTCAGCTCCTGTTTTTGTTGCTCGTCAGTGCACTGGATAATCTTTTGCTTCACTGTCCTTCTCTCTTCTATTAGTTTCCAAGTGTCCGTAGTGAGCCACTGTTTGTCCTGTCTCTTTTTTCTGCCTAGAATTTCTATGCAGGTTTGGCTCCACACCGTTTTCAAGTTGTTCCAGTGCTTTTCGACGCTGACCTTTTCGCTGGTGTTGATTTGTGTCTCGGCTTTGTCCTTTATGCTTGCAATGAAGATGTCCTTTGTAGCCTGGTCCTTCAGCTTTTGAGTGTTGAACTTGGCTTGTGGTCTATCTGCAGCTCCTGATTCCCTGAAAGCTTTTAATTTGATTTGGATTGTCCCTTGTACGAGATAGTGGTCTGAGCCAACGTCTGCTCCTCTTCTTGCTTTTGTGTCCAGTAGGCTGCGCCTCCACTTCCTTGAGATTGAGATGAAGTCGATTTGGTTTTTGGTTTGCCCGTCTGGTGACACCCATGTAGCCTTGTGGATATCTTTGTGCTTGTATACACTGCCACCAATCACCAGTTCGTTGAAGGCGCAGAAGTCGGCGAAGAGTTCTCCGTTTTCATTCATTTCTCCTAGAGCTTCTCTACCCATGATGAGTTCCCTTCCTGTATTGTCTGGTCCCAGTTTGGCGTTCATGTCTCCCATTAGTATTTTCATGTCGCCAGCTGGAGTATTGTCCATTGTTGCCTGTAGTTGCCTGTAGAATTCTTCTTTCTTTTCGAGGTCTGCGTTGTTTGTGGGTGCATAACATTGTATGATTGACACTTTCCTTCCTTTGGAGTTGAACCTGGCGGTCATTATCCTGGACGAAATCGCCTCCCATTGTATCAGGGCTTTCGTTGCCGTTGGTGACATCATGATAGCCACGCCCTCGGTGTGCGTGTGGTTATCTTCTGGGTGACCGGAGTAGATCACTGACTCACCTGTTGACAATTTGGTGAGTCCACTCCCATTCCATCTGCTTTCACATATTCCCAGCACTTGTATTCCGTATCTTTTCATCTCGTTGGCGATCTGGGCAGCTTTCCCAGTCTCGTACATAGTTCGGACGTTCCATGTTCCCACACAGACTTTTTCTTTTGGTGCAAAGAGGTTCATTCTGCTGAAGGTTCTGTATCAATTTTTGTTTACAGGATGGGGTTGCTAGCCTCACGCCTTTTATTGCATAGTTAAGATAATTGGGACACTTTTGTGTTTTACCTCCCTTTTTGAAGTGATCCAATCCAAGTCGTGTTGGTTACTATTTTGGTGACTAATAGGTATTAACAAAAACCAAATAGTCGTTTATCATTTGAAATGTGATGAACGCATTAGTGTATTAGCAAATAAAGTCGTCTAGCACAGGTCTATGTAATAGATTCGATCGATACATTATACGTTTCGATTAATAAACATGAACAGGTTGACATTGGCGAATTGGTTGCATCCGTCACCGCAGTTTAGTATCGAACTGACCCAGACTCAAGGTTAGCTGTTGACCTGCTAGAGAGGATAGACAAGCGCTGACTATTCTTCCAAGACGTCATAAAGAGCGTCCTGCTAATAAACAGTAAGTTTCTCCGGGATCCAAACAACTTTTTGACAACCGCCATTTCATTCCTGTGGATGATGCCTACTGCAATATACACAAAACATCTACACTCAAAATCCAAGTCCTAACATGCGAACCGCAAAGTTTAATAACCAAGAGATACGTTTGAAGTGGGAGCATATGCTACGTCTGCCGAAAAAGTCTGAAGCTGTCTCAATTCATATAAACCACAGGTATCAAAATCATGTTTTCAGTGAAACAATCTCTGGTGGAGCACTTTCCAAAACACTAACTAGCCAACAGCGTCATTGCTCACAGTAGTCTATAGTGCGTTATCACAAAGCGTGGTTCAAATGAAACTCCAAATACGGAAGCGCCACAAAGCACGAGTTCACGGCAACATAAAACTAGCTGTTTTAGAAAATAGTGGTGAGACTCTAATCAGTTCTCTAACTGTGCAAAACACTTTAAAAATTAATTTGGAAAGAGAATGGTGAGCCTCATTCTAATCTGTCGATTACATATTTACTTTTAGAAAAAAGTCAAGAGCACTGCAAACTAAGAGTAAATCGTCTTACCTTCTCTTTATCGCTGAAGGGAGTTGTTAATTGTAATCGTCTCTTGGAGAGTAGCAGTTGTGAAATGTTTGTCGACAATTTAGATTCTCTGTATACACAAAAATGTTTTGCGATTCGGTATACAAACGATGTTGTTTTACTGCACTGTGAAAAAAAGCTACACAAATCACGCTTATTTACTTTGCCATCTTTGTGTCCGTAATTGTGATGTGTATTTACAATGTTCTTGTGTAAACTGTGCGTCGGTGGCACAGCGGTTAGGACGCTCGCCGACCGTGCACATGGTCTGGGGTTCGATCCCCGGCCGACCCACTCCTTTACCTCGCTAAGCCAGAAATAAAGCTGGTAAAGAGAAAAGGTTGGGCATGAGGCTATCAACCCCATCCTGTAAAACAAACACTTCTACAGAAACTTCAAGCCACTAGCTCGAAGCCCTATGTTCCACTGGGAATGTGAAAGAAAATTAAAAACTGTGTAAAGTACTCCTGCGACGATGGGCAAGACCATGTAACGCACTTCCTGTAGAAGACAGACCACAAAGAAGTTAGAACTGAGTTTCGGAAGACGAGATTTTGATCAAACATTGTACGGGTCACTTATTGTGTGAAGGTTGATGACACAACCTAACTGTCCTGGTTGAAGTGGAAATTTTATGTATCCAACTGAGTTGTATGAGTGCTGGCGGAGATATGATGGATGCAATTTCCAATCGCATAGTAAAGGCCAAACTGTATACTCTTGCTCTTTTATGATGTTGGTCTGGCCAATAAGTCGGGTCCGCAGCACTTCAACGAGTGTTGTTAGCCTATGCTTATGAAACCTGGCTTATTAAAGCTGACAGCTCTGAATATTCTATCACAGTTATCTTTTTACAAGTGCTTGTTTGGGATGTCAATGAATAAACAGTACTGAGGTTCGATTAAACGTATGGTCATGACAAAGACTGTCTGTCAATGCGTAGGTTCGTTTTGGAACACCTACTACAGTTTCCTTCTCTTTCTGAAGATATTACTATGTAATGGATGTTGTTTCGAATGCTTACGATAAGCACCTGTCTGATTCTATTCCGTCGTTTTTCAAGTATACTGGTTTTCTTTTCCTCGTATTGTCTTTGAGATATTCTTAGTGGAGAGTCTCTCGGTGTCTCTATTAAGTACAAAAATAATTTTACGTGTTGGGCTCAATAAAACATAGATTATTGTTAGACTGGGATAGGCTTTTTTAAGCGCACTGTGTTTTTCCATCCCTTGCGTTCCGAGTGGAACATACGGCTGGTGATGTTTCCAGCTTTTTACCCAACTTTAACCATCTTCCAAGTGTACTATCGATTAGGTAAGGTTTAGGATTTCGTCAGTCTGGAATCTAAACCAGACCTCCGGCGTGGTCGCTGAGGGTTCTACCACTGGACCACAGATGCAAAGCATATTGTGGATCTAGTATTCTGTCAGCGTGGAAATGTACAACAGAGGTGTTAGGTCAATTTAAAGTTGACTTCAGTCAAAGAGACTTTCATTTTACATCTGAATGTTGACCATATTCAACAGTGTATTTAGTCATTTTTGTGAAGCTCGACCTACCTAATAACCTGAATGATGCTATGAGATATTTTGTGTCTTATTACTAGAATTATTATCATATAATGAAAAGGATATATTCCTTTGTTATCCTCCAATAACCTTGACTAAATTCTTGTTAGTTGTCAGTTTCTCAATATGGAATTCTATCAGTGTTTCTTTTGAGAATTTATGAACAGTTGGTTGTTCAAGGTTCGATATCTGTTCCAGTTACTCGTCTTGGGTATTCGAGCAGTTTAATAAGCTATCACACGAGTACGAGAAAAAATGTGTAGACGATAGATAGTTGAGCTTGTTTATTATTTTAGTTTATTACTAATCGTTTGTTAACTTACTACCAACTCACTGCTTATCGATCCAATTAATTTCAGCACTGTCAAAAGGATACATCCTTTGCTCTATGCAGTGTTTTAGCCCATTTGACAAATTCTTTTGAACGTCAACAAATTGAACCTGAAATGATTGAATTAGCGAAATTCTCCAAACAGCATATTCCAGAAGACCATCCATATGATTCAGATGAATATGTTAAAAAACGCCGACTTATGCTGATAAATATGGGTGTGTCATCGGCGTTATTTCACTTGACTATGCGTACAGCTACTGCTTTGGTGGGGTCAAACACAGGTTTATCGGAATTGCTTTCACGGTAAGTTCAGAGAGTTTTTTTTATTTATTTAGTGATCCTTCAGCTGTGAATTTAGTCACTTATATTTCCCAATGTAATTGAAAAAGAAATATTCACTGTTTTGCGATCCCCTTCACAATTGAAACCTGTAGGTCAAAAAGTTAGCAGTTAAACTTAGTTAGATGTTTGGGTTGTTGTACAATATCAAGTTATTAATTGATCTATTAATGTAGTGCGACCAAATAGCTGATAATAACGAAAGTTTGCCATTGTTGCTGGAATAGCATTGACAAATACCAGCAGGTAAAACAAGTAGCCACTAGGCCTAAATTTGACTAAATAAAGACGTGAAATCCCGAGAAACTCACTTCACTATTGTATTTTCTTCAGAATTGCGATGAGGCTCTGGTCAGTGAACTGGCTAGATTATTTGCATGACTACAGCATATCAGAATGCAAATATGCAGGAAGAAATGGAGGTAGATTGGCCATACTCTGAGAAAACTAGCAAGTGACATCACACGATAGGCTCTCGAGTGTAACCCGAACGGGAATTGGCGAGTTGATCATCAGTGCGAGGGCGACATGGAGGAGGTCATGTGAAGAGGAGATGAAAACATATGGGCAGACGTGGATCCAGGTGAAAACATTAGCGGAGAACCGAACGCAATGAAGAGGTGTGGCTGAAGCCCTATGTTCCTCTAGGAATTAAAGAAATCAATAATAATAGTACAGCATATCAAAAGTGTTTCATCATTTTGGAATAGGATTATTATTTTGTCTCCATTATGGATGAGATTTCATTTGGATAAATCGCACAGTGTTATACAGTAATATTAACTGTATATCAGTGTGTGATTTATCAAAATAAAATCTTATCCATAGTGGAGTTATACTCTTTTTTTTATTATAGCTTGATTCCACATCATATTTTTGGTACAAGTATGGAATTTTCAGCATGCGGTATCGGTAGCCCAAATTTTGCAGGCCGACCATAGATATCAGGTGTGCGTCGGTGGGGACTCGAACCCCAGACCATATGAGTGATCGGCGAGAGTCCTAACCACTATGCTCTACCACAGTGCCCAAGTTTTTTACTTATATTATTGTGTCTGTCTGTAAACACATCTGGTGTAGTATATATGATGGTCATTGAGATACTAATCAGGTACCAGTTTGCCAAAAATATTTTTGCTCTGCTCACTTCACCAAACTGGAAAAAATACGCGAATAGAAGGCTGTATTGCGTTAGGGCCAATGACGAATTCCTCTTTCAAGAGTTCATTAAAATCTTTTACATGTATAACACTTTAACAATGGTTGTATTTTTCGACATGAAGATTGTCTTCTATTCTTTCACTAGCATTATTGAGTTGTGCTCATAAAAAGTTTATCACTACCTTGAAAGTTCTATATTTAAGATCCTATAAGGGTATACTATGCGCCATTACTGGTGTTAACTAATTATGGATGTAAGTGTTTGGTGAAATCTCTTTCTTGAACACTGTTTGTCTCCGCTCCTGATAAGCTTAGTCAATTGAAGCTCCCTCTTTCACTCCCCTCTACTGTGTTATATTTCGTTGTACATGTCATGTCTTGGTACCTATGGTGATCTGTTATTGAGGAGAAGACGTCAGCATGAAACATAATATCACTACATACGAGGTAAATAACAAGGAGGGAGAAAAAACAAGCATGATGTGATGGAAGACTAAAGAATGTGATCATACTAAAAACAGAGAAAGATGAGTATGATATTGCGATTTATTATGTGATGTAAATGCATCTGTGTCACTAAAATTGATCTTTGTCGGCATTACAAAATATTTATAGCCGTACGATTGCAGTGTTCTAGTGGACACAAGGCACGTAGACTACATTCTTGCCTATTTGGCTTAAGTCAGTAGTCACTGACATCATGGACTAATACTTCGTCTTAGTCTAGTCACCCGTTGCACTCTACTTATGTCTGAATAGTACACTAAAATTAAAGGAAGTAGTTATGTGTAATGTCCCGGCAATGGTAGTCGATTGTGGTTAACAACTTTCTTTACTTTGAAAGGCTTAGTATCACCGGAATGTTTCTTATCTGTACACATATCCACTGGCGTTAATGTCGAGCTATACTAGTTTATTGTGTACTGTAATGTATTCTGGATACTCCTTCCTCGACGGGCAATATTAGCTGACATAGGATGGATCAGGTTAGAAAAGAGCTACCGGCGGTCAAACCAAAACATGGCACCAGTCAATGGAATCCACAACAGTTAGTTTAAGCCAGTGACGTAGGAATGTATAGACTTCCTGGTTTGGGTCCTCGGGACGATTAAAACCAATAGCTGGAGACATTCGGTGATATGGCTCAAAATCGTTCTCAATGGCGCCGATGCATCCACTCCTTGTGACTTATAATACCCAATGAAACTATATTGTTCTTCGTTATTACTATTCCATTTATCTCATATCCCTGTCTACTGTCTGTATTTTGGATTTCTTCTACTTGCTTCTTTTGCTTTGTGTGCTACATGGAGTGTGACGACTTGAACTGCTGCACATCGGTGCAAAGTTCTATGTCTCAAACAGACAGACAGACATTCTAGATACTAGGTATCATTAAAAGTTGACTTATTGTCTAACGGTCATATTTGTATTTCGTAATTCTCTTTAATTCTTTTGACTTTTCAAAGGTTGTTGTTGCTGTTGTTTTTTCAGTATTTATTTAGCTTGTTCTGAATCAGTTGAGTCTCGTGGAAAACTTGTTCAAGGTGGTGCTGGGAAAGCGATTCTGAAGTTGGCTCTTGATAACAATACAGACACTGGTAAAAATATAGCTGCACAGGCCCTCGCTCGTTTAACTATCACCACTGATCCACGTGTTACGTTTGCTGGTCAAAGAGTATGTTTACAGTAGCTGTTTCTTTTGGATAATTTGCCTGAAAAATTTACAAGTGTATTCATTTTCAAAAATAAACAACGTAAAAGTAAATTGCTGTAATACATGTATGTGAAATATTCCTATTTCTGTAGGAAAATACTATTACTTCTACTGAAGTTGTTCGGTAGTTAACGTTTGATAACTGTTATGCAAAGACTCGTTGTAACTTGAAGAGATGGAAGCTCAATGGAAAATATGCTCAACTTCGAGTCTGCCTGGTGTGCAATCTCACATAATTTTGTAACTGTTAGGTATGGGTGATTGCTGTAGAAAGAGTCAGGTTATGGTAACGTTTCATCATATTTATTATTATTCATTCTTGCTGTTCCATGTGGAATGTAGGTCTTCAGCAGCACATCTTCATTGTACTCCTTTCCCTAGTACTACTTTTAGCTGGCTTCATGCCTTCTTCACTTGATTTCCCCTGCGTATCACCTTCAGACGCTTAACTCGTTTCCCATTTGAGTGCCGTTTGAGAGCCTGGCATATGGTGCCACCCAAAAGTCCGACCGACGCATATCCCATGCATCTCTATTTCCTCCTGCATATTTATATTGAGTAATAGGTTATTTTGCTCGCGCTCACCACCACAGTTCCTTGGTGCTTGTTGTTTTTGGCCGGCCATCATGCCTTCACTCAATAGTGAAGGCAAGTGTTGATAGAAGTCTACAATACTACTTTGAAATATATAGAAATACTAACTTGACATTTTTGAAACCTTAGATCTCATTCTTTGCGCTACACACCGATTTCAAAATTCTAATTATATCTTTGATTTCTTGATCTGTACCGTCAATAGTTGGACTGATACTGTTCGTGTAAGTGAAAGAGACATATAACTTAGATTAGATTTCAATGGTTTATAGTAATTACTGCTTTTTGTTGTTGTTGTTTGAGTATTTCCATTACCCTTATCTTTCCTATTTTCACTCAAAGTCTTGCTTTCGATGTTTCGTTTGTCAACATGTTGGTTTTCGTTTGTTAATGTAAAAGTTTGTGAGGAAAAAGACATAAATCATCTAGGAAATCCAGATCTTTCAGAGTCTTTTATGTCCATCCGACGGTGACGTAGAAAGTTAACTGATTTAAATGCTTTTTCTTCTCTTGATCTGCGTCGTTTGTTAGTGACTAACATTGGATAATTGTAACTTCTCTACGTTTTGGGTTGAGTCTTGCTATCATGGTCGTGGGCGAGATTGTTTTCCACTGCATAAGAATCTGCGTTGCTATTGGTGATTTCTTGATAGCCATACTCTCAGTGTGCTTGTGGTTGTCGTCAGCATGACTGGAGTAGATTATTTGACAGTCCAATTTCCTTCCACTTTATACTCACGGATCCCTAACACTTCTGTAGCGTATTTTGTCTATTTTTATCCACACTTTGAACAGTATTGCTAGCCTCAAACATCGTGCGGACAGTCCATGTTCTTGTGCTAACTTTTTCTCTCATTGAAAGAAGATTTATTAACCTGATTGTTTTCTGAAGGCTTTCACTCATGAGGGTCATTCGTTGGTATCTTGAAGGGTCTTTCCGATTCCAGTGTAGGGTAATCCTATTTTTACTTTGTCTTAAAGTTTCATTAGTGCTGACGTTATGTTTTACAGAGTGGGATCGCTGGTCTCACACTCAACCTTCCCTCTTTTCTAGGCTTGCGACCAGCTGGTAAACTAAGCGAAGTTCTACGTCTTAAAACTCGGTATTATTCAACTCCCCAAATACTAACTAATACACCCGTCACTTAATATCTTAAACTGCATTAGATTTTTGTTACTTGTTTGTTTAAAAAACCAGATGATTTTACACATTTACGTATTATCTTATTTTTAGTCTTTAGAACTTGTTCGACCTTTACTTCGTCTGCTTCATTTGGATTGCAGTGCATTGCAGAATTTTGAAGCTCTAATGGCTTTGACCAATTTAGCTTCACTCGGTGAAACACATCGGTGAGTGACAGAAAAATACTACTTATTTGAGAGTTTGAACAATGCTGATCATATTTTACCCTAGCTATATATATATATATATATATATATATATATATATATATATATCCCAATTATTCGAGGTGTTCAGATAGATATTCCTTTTGGATACCAGCTAAATTTCGGAAATATGTGCTGAAACTCGCATGTCTATAAAGTGAAGTCGTTTTAGTGAGGTGTCTATGATAACCCGTTGATCACGAAATCGGAGTGTACCCTACGCGTTTGGTGCTAATCGCAAAACATAATCTCTCTTTCACTTTTGTGAAAACACCTTTCGCAACTTGAAGCCAATGAATACGACTCATATTTCAGAGTTTATCAACGCGTATCTTAATGATAGCGCTTCGAGGAAAAGACTGTCCACTTCTGGTCGCTTATTAAGAGTGTATGAGGACTACCAGTACACTGTTTGAATTTGATAACAATGAAGTTAAGGTTTTAGTGAGTTTTTTTGATGTATTCAGATAACCAGGGTGACAAGATTTCATCGTTGGTGGTTCATCGGCAAAAGTAGTTATTCATATTTATTATTATTATTTCCTTTAATTCCTAGAGGAACCATAGGGCTTCAGCCACACGTCTCCATTGCCTTCTGTTTTCTGCCAACTTTTTCATCCGGCTCCAAGTCTGTCCACATGCTTTTATCTCCTCCTCACATGACCTCCTCCAAGTCACCCCACCCTATCACTGACGACCAACTCGCCACTTCCCTTTCGGATTCCACTCGAGGGCTTGTCTAGTGATGTCACTTGCTAGTTTTCTCAGAGTATGGCCAAGCCATCTCCATTTCTTCCTGCCTATTTGTTTCACAATCGGTTCCTGGTTGGTTCGCTCATTGCCAGAGATCCCTGTTGCTGATCTACTCTGGCCGGCCATCTGATCTTGAGTGGTATTGAGCGAAGAAAACTGTTAATGAAGGTCTGAAGTTTGTTGGAGATGCTCTTTATGACGCGCCCAGTCTCTGATCCGTATAGTAGCACTGACTTCATATTGGAGTTGAAAATCCGGTTCTTATTTTCATTTTCATTCTGAGTGATGTTGACCTCCACACAGACTTAAGAGTAGTGAAAGCTTGTCTTGCTTTTCCGATCCTCACTGCTTAGATATCCTTGTCAGTTCCGTCGGCCTGTAGTTGAAACGATGCTTCCCAGGTAGGTAGGTGAAGGATGTTGTTTCTTTCAGGTTCCTCCCATTTATGCTGGCTGATTGTTGTCTGTTGTTGTCGCTGTTGGCCAGGAATCTTCACCACCTTTGTTTTCTCTATGTTCACCTTTCCTATGTCCTATCTTTGATGCTTCTTCTGCCAACTTGTTGCTTTTCGCTTGCATATCTTCCAGAAATCAGATATGTATTTTCGGCGAAGTCCAGATCCGCCAGGTTTTTTGTGTGAGTCCATTTTATGCCTGTCTCCTCGTTGACCGGCCTGCTGTCTGTCGCATTATCCAATCTACTGCAATCAGGAAGACCATTGCCGACAGTAGACAGCCTTGCCTCACTCCCGTCCTCACTTCGAAGGCTTCCGTAAGTTTCCCGTTGTGGATTACTTGGTATGCACCATTGTCGTTCAACTGTTGGATGAGATGTATAATTGTCGATGGGAGCCCATAGTAGCGAAGTAGTTGCCAAATGACCTCTCGATCGACTCTGTCGAATGCCTTTTCAAAGTCGATGAAGTTGAGTGAGGTAGAGAGGTGACTGCCATTCCAAGCTTTGTTCAATGATGATCCATAGTGTGGCGATTTGATCAATACACGACTTAATTCTCTTAAATCCAGCTTTTTCGGGTCGAAGTTTTTCATCCAGGGCTTTTTTGATTATCTCCAGGATGATGTGGCTTAGTATTTTGTTTGGGATGAACAGTGGCACAACTCCGCGCCAGTTCTTTCATTGACTTAAGTCTCCTTTCTTTGGTAGTTTGAATAAGTATCCTTTCTTGCAATCCTCGGGTACTTTGCTCCCTTTCCGCACCTTCTCCAGCAATTGCATCATCAAGTCCGCTGTTGTCTCTGGGTCCATTTTCAATACTTTGGCTGGGATTCCATCTGGTCCTGCTGCTTTTTCAGCTTTTAGCATCTTGATTGCCTTCAGGACTTCTGATTTCGAGTTATGTGTTTCGAGAGTTATTCATATTTTCGAGGTGTTAATATTACATTACTACTACTGCACAATATCTCTATGATTTCGTGAAAATTGAATTTCCCAGACACATATTTCATTCAGAACATTTAATTATTTCACCCGTAAATTATTATTTGGCATATGTGTGGTGAATTCTCTGTTTTCTGTAAAACATTTGGATATTATCACCTTTGTTACACTTTCCAAAGTATTCTTATCTTGAGACAGAACGTGTTTTTGTCCACAGTGTGTGTAGAATGCACTAATTACACTACTCTGTGAAACTTACAAAAGTACCTTTTTGTCTTATCCTATGTAAAATGACATCTCTTGGATAGTGAATGTTTTCTTCTGGAATTGTTGTGTCAAGGGAACAGGAATATTGGTGACGAAATGATGATACACTCAACTTGCCTTCTTTCTCTGTACTGTACTGTACTGTGATTCAGTGCTTTGACAAACTGTAGTATGCAGATATGCCATTGAAGCAGTCGAAGTGTTTTTTTCCTCCATAAAATATATATCGTTACTCTCAGGAATGTTTAGTCCTTCTGTAGTTGTGTTCTAGTTCCAATTTCACTCGCAGCAGACAAGGAAATAGTATTTGTCTTACTAATAGGTTATCTTACTCCCAGAATCAACTAGATGTCTAAAAATTATAATTTCGAGTGACAGTTGATCGGCAGCTGGTTAGTTTTAACTTAAAAGACTGACTGATTACAGAATTCAGTTATTTTGTAGCATGCAATGAGGTTAACACATCTTTTAAACCTATCTATAAAACGAGTTTGGGGCGTATCCTAAAGTCTTTGGAAGCCCTAACAATTGGAAAGTTTAAACCCACTTTATGCGTTCAAAAACAATTCGTCATCACACTAAACCTCCCTTGGTAAACTTCGTTTTGATACCATAACAGATATAGTATTACCTCTGTTATTTGGTTTAGTGGTCTTCATTGTTATTTTGGCCTTCAATATGTTCTTTTAACTTCACCTAATTCTGTGAAAACGTACTTGTATGGTTAGGCGAGGATGTTGAAAAATCATCATATTACACAAAAGAGAGTGAAATATTGTGATGTTAAGAGTAGGCAAAGTTAAGGTCATCTATAGTTATTTATATGCTCCCATTTCCAATAGTAAAAAGATGATAAGTCATGCTTATCGAATATGTACTTCTCTGTCCGTTAATGCCCTTCATTTTTTTCATCCCAGTCATCGCATACTGGCAGAACGTGGCTTGCCTCTGATCGATCATTGTCTTTTTGAAGAACATCCTATGATTAGACGAGCTGCGGCAGAGTGTATGGCCAATTTAGCACAATCGCATGGTTTCGTTGTGTCTTCCGGTGGAAGTATACCTTTGGATGATACAGATTTAGCCAAAAAATTGCCACGTCTTATATGTCCAACTGAACGAGTGAAACTTTTAGTATTATACTGTGGTGAATATGATGACTTATTACTTGTACGTGCAGCTGCTGGTGCTTTGGCTAGCATGTCGTACGATCCAGGTATTATACAGAAAATCACCAGTGTAAGTTAATCTTTTATTCTCTTGTCAGTCATTATCACTTTCATTTGAAACAAAATTATTCACTTATGACTTTTGGAAAGCTGATCTGCATTTGCAGATATTGAATCAGTTATCAACGACCAGTAATGCAACACAGAACACTGATTTCGTTGATAACATGAATTACCCTAAGATATACATCTTAGTGGATCTGGTCAGTTGATGGCATTGCAACCGGTGTTTAGTCATTATCAGTAGCTGTTAGAAGTGCGTGCCGTTTCACCTTAGCTATACATTGTGTCTTGGATCTGTTGACATATGTATCTGATGATCGAAGCTATTTATAGTCAACTGTAATCAGTGTTGTTTTGTCAGTATATTCATTAATAATACTAGGTCAAATAAAATTGACCTAAAATTGAATTATCATAGGTTTTAGCGAACTGTTAACTCTCAATCTTGACACATTTGAAGTTGTTATTTTTAAAAACCAAATTAGTAGTCTAGAAGTAAGTTTATTGACTGAAGAGTTTAATGACGGAATTCATTTTAGATTAGTTGTTGACTGTAAAGCTTTCGATGTAACGGTGAAACCGAAATTGACACTGATAGTCCTATACATAAGTTCGAATTTCAGAGAAGATTCAAAATATTAGAACAGAATATTACCGGTAGTTTCAAACAGAGAAACAAACGAGTGAAGCGTACCAATTATATTTTGTGTGAATTAAGTGATTTCTGTTCGTGTTACTTTTTCATATTTACGAAATAAAACAACATTCATTTCTAACATTGTGCCGTTGAATGTACTCATCGTTTGTCAATAAAACATCAACTTCCACGGTATATACAAGTAAGGTTTCTATTCTCTACTTTTTATATGTACGTTTAAAGACCATTACAACCTGGACTTATTTTCAAAGTTCTGCTTTGATTCATCAGTCAGTCAGTCAGTCTGTTTTCAACATAAAACTTTGCACTGATGTGCAGCAGTTCAAGTCGTCACACTCCATGTAGCACACAAAGCAATAGAAGCAAGTAGAAGAAATCCAAAATACAGACAGTAGACAGGGATATGAGATAAATGGAATAGTAATAACGAAGAACAATATAGTTTCATTGGGTATTATAAGTCACAAGGAGTGGATGCATCGGCGCCATTGAGAAAGATTTTGAGTCATATCACCGAATGTCTCCAGCTATTGGTTTTAATCGTCCCGAGGACTCCAGCCAGGAAGTCTATACATTCCTACGTGACTGACTTAAACTAACTGTTGTGGATTCCATTGACTGGTGCCATGTTTTGGTTTAACCGCCTGTAGCTCTTTTCTAACCTGATCCATCCTATGTCAGCTAACATTGCCCGTCGAGGAAGGCGATGACTAGGCTTGCGTAACACATGTCCTAAGCATCTCAGTCGATGTAGCTTCACAGCCTCGTCGACTGATTTCCCCTCCCACCTACCTAGCACTCGACTGAGGCCTTACCTCAATATTGCTAACCCTACTATACTTCACAAGGGAGATAGAACGCAGGTGCCTATGATCAAAGACAGCTAACCAGCCTTTTCATGTCCTCCACTCTCAATGGCCAGGTCTCACAGCCATAAAGGAGGATGGAGCGGACTGGTGAGCAGTACACATGTCCTTTAGTCAATAGCCGGATACCAAGTCTACGCCAGGGATGGCGTATGTTGGCATATGCGAAACGAGCCTTCTGTATCCGTGCTGAGATTTCGTCAGAGATCAACCCGTTAGGGCTGATGCAGCTTCCCAAATAAGTGAAGCGGTCAACGTGCCCTACCACTTCACTCCCTATTTCTAAGCTAGGAGTCAGTGTAGTCCAGTCGTGTAACATTATCTTACATTTGGCGGGAGCGAAGCGTATGCCAAACATTTGTAGATTGCAGCTCAAGGTGTTTAGAGGACTGTGCATTTTGTCAGCGTCTTCACCCAGAAGGACTGTATCATCTGCATATTCTAAGTCAACGAGATTATTCCCTGGTAACAAGTCAATCTCTTAGTCACTGAAGTTACTTAGGGTTAAGTCCAATAGTGCATCTATGATAAAATTGGATAGAAATGGGGATAGTGGGCATCCCTAACGGACACCACTAGTTGTCGCCTCTTCAGATGACAACCCGCCATAAGCCCTCACCTGACTGCTTGAGTACGACTAGAGTGCTTTAATCAGTGTAATGTATTTTCTCGGCATTCTCTTTACAGTCAAGCATCACAATAGTACCTCTCGGTCGACAGAATCGAGTGCCACCTTTAGGTCAAGAAATATAATGATTGTTGGACGCCGGTAGGAATGCCTATTTTCTAGAATCTGTCGAAGGGTGAAGATATGATAAATTCACCCTCTTCCTGGTCTAAAGCCTGTTTAGTTCTCTCGTGTTTATTCCTCTCGAGCACCACTTAGTCCACGCAATATTATTGAGCCTAGGACTTTAGATACCATAGTAGTCAAGCTATTCCCTCTGTGATTATCACAGGAGACTTGTATCCCTTCTTGTATATGGGGGTAATCAGTGACTTACACCAACCCGACGGGACTCCCTCTGATATTAGTCAGTAATAATCCTGAGTGCTATTGTGTTCGTAGTTCAGAGTTAGACTACAGATATCTGATAACTATAAGTAACACTGTGAAGAAATGTATATCCGTAATGTACAGTTAATTTTTCTGACGTATTTGTTTTAATGTTAAGTATCTGTATGTTGGTAATTTATAGATAACAATGTCAAAACTAGTCAATGTTCTGTATCTCAACAAATAAATATGTATATTAATACTCTTCCCTTTCATTTTTGAATAACAGGTTTCCTCATGGTTCGAAATATTTCAAACACTGGCTGGACATACAGTTTGCGCTTTACAACATCGAGCAGCCCACATACTTCAAAATTTCATTCTGCATGGAGAAAGATCCCTCGCTGAATATATTTGTAAATCAAACATGCTTGAAGTTATCATGTCTTTGAGTCAACTACCAGATGTTAACTCAACAGAGCCAGTATTACCAGATGCGAAAGTTTTGTATCCAGGATGCAGTGATGATCAGATTAGGGAATATGAAAAGAAAGACTGTGAACGTACACGAGAATGTGCAAACAAGGCCTTAGAACGTCTGAAAGAATACGGTTTAGTTCAGAAGGTTTCAAATAGTTCCAGATAGTATTCAAAAAGTTACTTCAGACAAGCCATTTATTTGCATTTCCCCTACTTCTTGCATGCTGTGTTTTTTATTTTTATTTATAAAAATGTTATTTATCAGTGCCTTCATTGACTTTATTTACCCCTCTACATTACTGCCTTAGTTATTTGTTAGTGATTCACCTCACTTCAAATGTTTTCAACCTTTTTTAAAAGTATCTGTGACTTTGTAATTTTGAAAAGTCTTCCACTTATCTCATATCATAATATATAGAAATATTAATATTCTTACCCGCAAAGTTTCCCTGATTTTCTGATTTGATATAAAGCTTACATTTTCTATAGTTTGGTTTGTAAGGGTTAGTTTTGTTTTTACGAGTTGATCATGGATTGACATCAGTTAGAGAACCATTGAAAACCAGGGAGTACTGGAAACCTGTTCCATCCTAGTTTTGGAATCATCGGCAGTACCACCCACTGGGGTTCGAACCCAGGACCTTCCGGTTACAAAGCAAATTCGTGTACCATTCAGCCACTGGGACCCGATTCAATTTTTTTTCCTTCACGTCCTCCAGTGGAACATAGGGCTTCAAGTTAGAAGGCTTGAAGTTTCTGCAGCAGTGTTTATTTTTACAGGATGGGGTTGATAGCCTCATGGCCAACCTTTCCTCTTTACCAGCTTTATTACTGCCTTAGCGAGGTAAAGGAGTGGGTCAGCCGGGGATCGAACCCCAGACCATATGCATGGTCGGTGAGCGTCCTAACCGCTTTGCCACGACGTACCCGATTCAATGGCCCACGAATTCTAACTTCTACCAATTTGTGATTTAGCTTATAGTTCATACGGATTTTACTAGATGGGGATTGTTGAGATTCTATATAGTATGTTAAGTGAAGCAGGTTGTTCTTTCATTGAAGTCTTAGTCGTATGCTGAATGAATTAGCTAAGGTTTTGAATTACATAATCGTTAGTGGTGATGATTTTCATTGGTTTGTGATAAACTGCTGTTAGTGAATGGTTAGTCAGTGTTTGAAATGACCGCATTCTTTTTCCGAATGACCCACATTATTGATTCACTAAAACCTATTTCCAGAATCATAGAAAACATCTGGTACATTTTCTGTGTAGAATATTCCATTTACGTTTATAAAAGCACTATATATATCACTTATTCGAACATAAGGCTGTGTATTTTTCCATATATATTTGACTTGGAGCGTGTGAATGATGTGGTTTAATGCAACAGTGTACTATAAATGTTTAGCTTCGGTGGTTTTGATTCAAGCTCCTTCAATCTTCCTCCACTGTCCTCCTTTTACACTAATGTTATTGTTCCTGCTGAACACAGAGATGAATTTCTTTGGAATTATGTTACCGGGACTTTGGAACACGGGGCACCTGGTTGCAGCTAAAGAATCGTGTACATTAAATTCAAATTCAACGAACAAATGGTGTATTAAAATCCTAAACTTAAGGCACAAAATTTCACACTTCTCAGTGAAAGTGCAACAAAATATGAATGAGTTTTGTATTCCACTAGCCAAAGTAGCATCTTGTGTCGATACTCGAAGAAGAACCACTCTAGCCCATTGAAGACAGCAAGATAAAATACGATTGTTTTCATAGATAGCGTCATGAAAGTAGTCATGTTTAAACTTGATGGTGTAATAAATTTACTTTTAGTTTAAACTTATTATTGCTTCAACGTCAATAATTGTACGATAATATGTAACAACAAGGTACAGGGCAAAGGTAGCGTGTATAAAAACAGAATACTCAAGCGTTGGTTTGTAGGGATTTGATTAGTTACAGGATTTCATCATGAGGCGACATTGGTTAGAGAACCATTGGGAAACCTGAAAGTACTGGTAAGCTGTTTCGTCCTAGTTTGGAACTCTTTGGCAGTACGTATCCACCGGGGTTCGAACCCAGGGCCTTCTGGTTACGGGCCCAGCTCGTAGACCATTAAGCCACTGGGACCTGGTCCAATGGCCCATGAGCTCTAACTTCCGCCAATTCACGACATAACGCCTGCACATAAGACACAGTCAAATAATCACACATTATTCTTATCAGTTGGCCATCAAATAGGAAAGGTGCAGCATATTTGTAACTGATTCCCATTCTCAATTATACTTGGCAAAGTTTTCAGTCACAGAGTTGTGAATGCGCTCAACAAAAGCAGATTTTATTTGACGGCATAACATTGCGAGGTGATTGCTACTGTTTCGAATGCCCATGGTCAGGTGTGTGAAAGTCGCTCAATCTCGCTTATAAAAATGACATAATGTATCGAACAATAACTTCCAACATGCGATTGTATGAAATAACTTATAATCACTCTTCTAATTTTTCCTACTTTCAGCTTCTCGGTCAGGAATTATGCCAAATTTCGTACGCTAATTATTAAAGCATTAAGCAACACACACAATTTCAGCCTAAAGCCGTTTTTGGATTTTTCAAGCCTCACTTAGTTTTCGCGAAAATACGGAACCCAGATTCCTAGGTACTGTGTTGAACAAAGTGACCTCTCCTTGATTTGTTTCTTTTTTTTATGAACAGAAATGATCAGCGATCACCAGTCTTTTGGGTTTCTATACACTAACTGGTTCCTAGTCAGCGATATATCACCAGCAACTTTGTTTGCAAACTACTGTCTCCTCACATTCATTTCTACAATAGACTAGTGTAATGCCAGGATCAGCCACAATGCAATAATTTACAAACGTATCTTTTATTAAAAAAAACTAATATTTTACCCACAAGCTGTGCATGAAAGTCATTTTTGTCCACTAAGGTGTTTCAGAAACAGTAGGAGTCTTCTACATACTTGTAGTACAATCCATCTATATGCTAAACGGTGATTTAGACAGACGCTGAGACGTTAAAGTATATACTACTGAGTGATTATGATGAGTAGTTGTATACTACTCATATCGACTAGTAGTGCTGACTATTGGCAGATTGAAGTGATCTAAACACAGAACGATGGTTTCGCTCGTTTAAAGCTGAGCTTATCGGCAGTGTGTCCGATTCGAGCCAGCTCATTGCCGGATTGATTTCTGACCAGCTACGTGGGGAACTGACGATATCATGAATGGCATTCACAATTGTAAAGTTAATTCCCAACATACACGGTATGAAAAGACGATAATAGGCCACAGTTCCTTTAGATAGACAAAATTATTCAGATCATAATATATGGACGCTCAGATAAATAGCAGGCTAAATACTATCCGATAATAAATTATTTGAAATAATATGGCAAGATACTACTGTCATTGCCAGTTCAATATATCTTGGAGACGGTGCTGAAGACGTCTGCGCTTTCTCCCTTTTCAGCCAACCTGAAAATTTCAAATAAGGCCTACTCAATTTAGGCAGGAAGCATTGCTAATTACAAAAATCTAGTACTTTACGCAATTCCCACGTCAGCAAGTTTTAGTGAAATACAAATAGGAATTCGGAGGACATGACACTTATTGGTTATGCGAACGTAAGAAACATTTGCATAATATTTCCCTTGTCACAAGATATACTAAGTGGCAAATCACATCTCACTTTTTTGAATTTCACTATTAAAATTCCGGCATCCAAGTAAATTACTTAAAAATTTCCGCCCAGCTAAGTAGTGTTGTTCGCGTAATCGCAGGGAACCAACGGAGTACCATGACGACTAACATACAACGATGATTATTTTTCACTGTTCTGTTAAGGTAATCATTTGTTCCTCGTCAGCATTATCTTCAAATATAGGGAAAGACATTATCTGACCTCTGTCATCAAGTCGATGGTGAACACAAATAGATCGCGTGGCTACTGTGCGTCGGTGGCACAGTGGTTAGGACTCTCGCCGACCATGCACATGGTCCGGGGTTCGAGCCCGCACCGACGCACATCTGATATCAATGGTCGGCCTGCAAAATTTGGGCTACCGATATCCATGCTGAAAATTCCATACTTGTACCGAAAATACAGTGTGGAATCAAGCTGTAAATCAAAAAATAAAAAATTAAAATTATAGACGACGAAGTCCATTAGAAGACTGAGTCTGCCTCTCGAACACCTGGATTGGCGCTAATCATGCACTGGGTCGTGCACGTATATACTTACAACTAAAGAACCATAGAAGGCAGGAAGCCAATACGCTCCCAAATTGACCAGTACAAAACGCCTTTACTCAGGGAAGAAATAACTAAACGTAGGACAGAGATTGACAGCAAGACGCCTACTGACGACTCCCAGCATGAAATTCAATCAACTGTAAAGACAACAGTAAAGCGAATTTGGCGACGAGTACATATAAAATTTGGCGACGGGGAAAACTATGGATCCTTCTAAATTGGAATTACTATTTGAACAACAAATGAAATTAATGGAAATGTTCATTAACAAACAGACTGGTCCAACTTCAACTTCAAGCAATCCCAATCATACCATGCTACCATCTGTCGACGGCATTGTGAATAGTATTTCACAGTTCAATTATGATCCGGATGCGAATGTCACTTTTGACACATGGTATCAACGATATGAGGATTTATTCACAGTTGATCTCGCCTCACAAGACGATGCTTGGAAGGTGCGAGTGTTATTACGTAAATTGGGTCCCGCAGAATATGAGAGGTACTGCAACCTAATTTTACCCCAAAAACCACGTGACAAGTGTTTCGATGATACAATAAAGCTGCTGCGTGAACATTTTGGAGACCACTCCTCATTATTCAGTATACGTTATCGTTGCCTCAAGCTGACAATGAATGAAAATGATGATTTTCTTACTCACGTTGGCACAGTCAACCGAGAATGTGAGAGATTTCGACTCAGGTCCTTAACAGATGATCAATTCAAAGCCTTGATCCTCATATGCAGTCTTCAATCTCCTCGTTTCACAGATATCCGAACTCGACTGCTCAATCAGCTAGAACAAAATCCTAAGTTAACATTACATGACATAGCTGATGAATATCAACGGCTGATTAATTTGCAGAAATACACACACCTGGTCGAATCAACACCTT